CCCGCCCGCTAATGGAAAAAATAACATAAATAAGGCAACTGTGAATGACTAGCTGTCAAATACGTCTGGCCGCGATGCATGTATTCTAGTCGTATTTCTCGCACTGTTTCTCTTTTGTTTTCCTAAAACAGGAAATCTAAAGTGAAGGTACTATGAAAAAAGTTCAAATGCGGTCGTCCATTGAAGGAATCTTCTTTGCAACGACGCGTGCCGAGTTACATAAAATCCAGCATAATTGTATTCAAGTTGTTGCTGAAGGAATCAGGCTAGAAAACTACATTGTGTATTAAGAAATGTAGCGGGCTCTTCGCAACTTTCAATGTAATGTTTGTCAGAACACATTGGATCCAGCGGAGCGGGGAAAGAAGAGTTTGCAAGAAGGAGCAATTCATTATTAAAGTAAGCTCCTTGTGGTTTTATAACCAGCAAGAAGAAGTCCTCAACCAAAAATCGCTGACGGTTATAGATCGCTTCGTCTTCAACAATCTTGCCGTTGATAACGCGGGTAACAAGATAGCAAGCATACAGGCAGCATGATTTTTACTTTCTTTCTTCTAGTGAGTAAAACCAACAAGCCGTTGGTAGATGATACTTTTCAAAACCAGTCAGTGAAACTCATCTGCTGACAGGCCTTTTCCTTCATACGGTTCTTTTAACTGCTTTTTTCTATTCTCCTTTGAAACTGAAATTGATGCCGGCTTCTAATTATAATTCCCGTAGAGAAATCTCATCGCGCTTCACTAAGAACATGCGTGATGTTGTTTTCAACCAATCGGAAAAAGGTATTAAGTCGAAGATTGACATTTTCAAATTAATTCTCACCAATCTCTTTTTTCACGCTCAGATTTCACGCTCATAATCTGAGCGTGAAACATGAAGAAAACAATGGTCTCCTTGCAGGCGTTCCTTTCCTTTCTCCCTCGCGCGCCCAAATTCCCCCTCCCTCGTCCCCTTTTATATATAGACCACATGGAACACACTGCTGAACTTGGCAAAAACATATTATTATAACCCTTTCCCCTTGCACTTCCGCCAGCGCGACCCGTACAAAGATGATCGAGCCCCATTAAACATGAATTCAAAGGTGTTTTTCGGAAAAATGACCGCTGTTTGGACAGTGAAAACCTAACGTAAACGCATTTCATCGCATTTAAAGAACAGAAGCCCAACTAAGGCGATACGGTATAAACTCGTCTGCGAGCAAAACGCGTTTAGTTACCGGCTAAGTATCCAAAATCACTTCAATTTGCTCTTAAAATTACTTTAGCATTCGAAATTCATTAAGTGATGCTCTTTCTGTTGTTGCTGCCGTCTTCTTCTTCGTTGCTCGCGTTGAATTTGAAGTCGGCGTTCTCGCTCCAGAGGATTTCGGTGGAAAATCTCCCTCGGCGAGGATTTGGGGCCACCTGTTGTGCTTGTGTGTCATTTGAATTGGAAATCGTTCGTGATTTACCGATGGTAAACATTGTTTCACAGAAGATGAATAAACACAGTTACCCCTTTCATGAATAATACATGAAATGCGCCTTGGTAATCGGCGACAAAGTCTTTGTTTCCTGGAAACGCAAAATGCTCCATGACGTCTGTGGCGGACACCAAGCATAAATTCGTAGAAAGATTTATGTATGGGGCATCGAATTTCGCAGCCAACAGAAGACAGAAAACCAGCACATAATGAACGAGCGCCAGCCATTTTCTTGACGGATGACATCTACTAATGTGTCAAATTCCGGATTCTTCCCCACCTCCTATGTGGCTGCCCATCTGACTATTGTGGGAGACGGGGGATGGGTGATGTATTTAGGCAAGAATTTTTTTCCCAAATCTCTGAAGTTAAAATTTTTTTCCTGACATATAACGGTGTAAGATTTTTTTTCAGCATTATATACGTCATGAGGGAAATTTTTTCCATTGCAGGATATAATTTCTCCCAGGTATATCCGTGCAAGCTTTTCCCCTCGAAATCAGTCTACATGATATTTTTTTTTTAAATCACCCATAACCTCCTCAAAAGTCAAATTACCTTCCGCTAAAATCCACCCAAACATTGACTCAGTAGACAGAACGAGATTTGTCAGTCATTGCCAAAGCCTTTTGAAACAATAGGGGACAAAACTCTCTAGGGGAGAGGGGGAGGAATTCGTTTCTACTTACCCCTACCTGGAGAGTCCGTACGGACGTAGGGTGACGGATAGTTTACCATTTTCTCTTAAGTATGGAGCTCCACGCTCGCGCGCCCGTCGGCTACGCGGAGGCTCCGCTATTACCCATTGTGCTCCGCAAGGTGTAGCCAAATTGTCGAAATTTTTTTCATGGAAGTTTTCTTTTACCCTTATAGACCAAGATTTGGCAAGATTTTTTAAACATAATATCCGTGGAGTAAAAAATTGTTTAAAACGTTTGCCAAGTCATTAAAGGCTGGTTTACTAGTAGGATACAGAGTCGGACTGTAATCAAACGTGTAGAGTGTTGATCTGGATAAAACACTAACAGGGTATAATTACTCCAATTATGACTCCTTCACTTTCGTTCTAGTGACAACTATAAAGCATGGGAACAAGAATTACTGGTAAGTGGTTTATCCTTCCACCCCTGCTTAATCTGGTTTTCTACATCATAAGCAGAATCTGAAGAATAGAAAGTTGTGATGACTCCAATTCCATCAAGTTTCTAGTTATGACTTCCCTTGTGACTCTGATTTTTGATTTTCACTAGGTGATAAGTGCTCTTACGACTCTGATTATGACCTTGACTTTGTCACGAGTGAAACCGGCCTTCAAAAAGATTAGGTCAAGTCGTTAAAGGCTGGCACTAGCAATGTAGACAGAATCAGAGTTGTAATCAGAAGCTTGAGCATTGATATAGCTAAAGCATCCTAGGTCATTACTGCTGTTACAACTCCTTTGCTTCAATCTAATATACATTGTCGGAATTGTAAGTAGGAGAACTAGTCTAACTCTGACAATCTTTTTTTTTGTGAAAAGGGGAGTTGTAATAGAAACCTTAATTGACTCCAGTTCTGGTGAGCTTCAAATAATGAAACCTTTAAAACTCCAATTTTTGATTTTCACTATAGGTTTTAAGTGTTCCTATTATGCTGATTATAATTTTGACTTTGACTTTAGTGAAAATCGTTTTAAGAAGTAGTAACTTTGATCGCACCGAAGATACGAGTCTCTCTTGGCCAATTTAATTCCCCCAATTATTCTAATTGTTCAATCTAGAAAAGTTGAGATTAACGGAAGATAATGTTACATAAATAGGCTGGAATAAGCGTTGTTATGATGTGCACAAATCACAGTAAGATTAACGGAAGATAATGTTACATAAATAGGCTGGAATAAGCGTTGTTATGATGTACACAAATCACAGTAACATATTCAGGACTGAATAATGTGTGAAATAAGCCTTAGCTTGGTTTCATTATTTGTTTTATTTTCATTGTTTTTACTGCAGTAGTTGACAGTGTTTAAATTCTAGCTTCTTGAGCGGCTCTGTATTGCCAGCTCTTCTCCTTTATCACTCTGCTCAGCAGCAGGGATGGCAAACGATGCAGAACGTGACTGAGGGGAAGATGGTATCTGTGGAGGAAAGACGAGCTTGACCGTGATCCCCCTCTTGTTCCCTCAGTCGACCGTGAGGGGGGTGGCAAGGGTGATCGCGAAGATGATCGTGGGCGGTCGCTCTCACGTTGACTATGACGGCTTTGTTGACCAAGGCTGCTGCCATTTCGGCGTATGGGGGGACGTGACCGTGATCCTCCTCTTCTTCGGACCCCCTCTGTCGACCGTGAGGGGGGTGGCAAGGGTGATCGCGAAGGTGATCGTGGGCGGTCGCTCTCACGTTGACTATGACGGCTTTGTTCACCACAGCTGCTGCCATTTCGGCGCCTGGGGGGACGTGACCGTGATCCTCCTCTTCTTCGGACCCCCTCTGTCGACCGTGAGGGGTGGTGGCAAGGGTGATCGCGAAGGTGATCGTGGGCGGTCGCTCTCACGTTGACTATGACGGCTTTGTTGATTACGGCTGCTGCCATTTGGGCGCCTGGGGGAACGTGGCCGTGATCCTCCACTTCTTTCGACCAGTTTGTCGCCCGTGAGGGGGGTGGCAAGGGTGATCGCGAACGTGATCTTGGGCGGTCGCTCTCACGTTGACTATCACGACTTTGTTCACCACAACGGTGCGGGGGAACGTGACCTTGATCGTCGACGCCTTAAAAAACAATCATTGCATAGATCAGCCTCTTACGCAGAAGTCCTACAATATAATAGTTAGCTTTCCAAGAATGATCTGAAAGGTGTTCCGGTATCAAGAAGTCCAAACTATATTGCGCCTTCGTCAACCTTATTGGACTATTTGAAGGCCTTAGTATTTTCACAGGAGACATTTTTAACAGTGTTACTGAAATACTAACCGTTTTCAAATGTACAAATACTACAAATAAATCACTTTAACGATCCCAAACTCATTCTCTTATGCCAATTTAACAAATAAAAGGGTAAGGGAGGAGTAATCTATTTTGACAAACATCCACCAAATTTTTTGAAACGAAGATATAATTGCCGAATTAACCCGATAAAAAATTTTGGGTCTTCAGCTGGATTCGAAACCATGGTCTCTGCATTAGCGCGTCAGTGATTTATCAAGTTAGCTATCAACACCCTTATATTGGGGGCAGCCCATTTTGTTGAGCTCATCTTAACCCGTGAATGGCAGATGCGATGATCATATCTACATTTAAAATGTGTATTTCCGCAGTTCAATTTACATGAACAATAAAGGATAATTCTTGAATAAATTAATAAATTATTGCTCCCCCCGCCCCCTCCTGAACCGGGACTGCGGGAGCGGCGACTGCAAAAAATAAGAAATAATACTAACTAATTAGTATTATTACTATATATTATTACTATAGTACTATTGGTCTATCAAGCACAGAATCAGAATGTACCTGTTCCCTTCATCGTAGTTATCTCTCCTATTACTGCTACTGTAACCATGGGCTTCTCTCCTTTCCTTGGCACGCATCTGTGCTGGTGCTAAGAGGAAGAAAAAGGTTCATGTTGAGTAATCGTATTCTTTAACACCAGAAAATTTGTGTGGTGATATAGTTAGGGCACATGTCATATTTCAACCTGCACGTTTTTATTCTTATGCCTTACTTTTTCTTTGTCCCTCTGCAAACTGAACCTGAATTTCTTTTCTGTGGAACATCACTCCGTTTAGATAGTGATTGGCATCCTCGGCACCACGTATATCTTCAAATGTATGGTATGTTAAGGCGTGACTATTTTTCGACCAAGCTTTGCCTGGAACAAAAGCTTGATAATTGATTACCCTGCTGACAATCTCTTTTGATGGTTGATGCCCCTGCTTTATCAACTTATTCAGGTATTACTAATTAAGGAGTTTAATTTATAACTCTCTCTTTGGGACATCTTCAAAACTGCCAAACATTCAATCACCTTGTCAATCTACAAGGACAACCTTTTAGTTTGCGTGTGTAGCACTCTCACTTTTAATTTGAAAAATGACCTTGATATCCTGAAAAAACTATTTTTTTCGGTGAAATTCTGTGGAAACACCTTCACATCTTCTATATTTACACGACACATAAAAGACTGCAGAAATGACGGTATCACCATTATCTCCATGTTGAAGTAAGCTGAAATGTCACCTTTCAATTTTGTTTCTTTTTTTGCCCCGAGAATGATGCTGATAAAATAATTGTTTTAATTATAGTCTATGAAAAAGCCTTTTCTAATCTCTACTTTTATCATAGGTATAACAGTTTGGTGTGCCTGGTTATATTTAAACTGTGATACAGTTACAGTTACTGACTAATCTCCACGGTGCCCACTAACGGGAAGAATTTTCTCCCAGATAATGACTTTATGAGATAAGTTGATTATACCAAGGGCTATTGAAATCCACAGAGAAAACTAGAGTAACCAAGCAATTTTCAGAGATAACTGCGCCTGGATATGGGAAAAAACGCAGAATTGCCAGTTTTTAGAAAAATTAAGAAAAGTTAGTTTTCTTACAAACAACCTTTCTTTACGCGTCTTTTTATTTTTTAAACATCATCATAACTGGGTGGTCAGCAGCAGTGATCTCTATCCACTCGTTTGCCTCAAAAATGGTTTCAAAAACATTTGCCTCAAACCAAAAATTGATCGTACTTGTGCTAGTTCTTTATGGAAAACTGATACTATTGTCTTTGTTGAATTAAATAAACCCCCGTCTCCATTAAGCCCCCCCCCCCTCCCCAAATGTGTTTGAAATAAACAAGCCCCCTTGGGAGCTTAATAGAGAATTTACAGTACTCTTAAGTTGCCTCAATAAGGTTATAAATCCTCCAATTTAAGCATTTCTGCTTTTGAAATTGACCACCATTTTACCTTTTTTATTTATTTGAATAAATAAATAAAAATGTAAAGTTAAGGCTCACCACGAATTAAATGACTCAATAAAGCAGGGTGAATTTGCCATAATATATTACTTACATAATGCCTTTAATTTAATCTTTGAGAAACCGATCCCACTAATCTCTGCACACTTGATTCTTTCCTTTTCTTTTGCTGTGATCATGACTGTATTACTCGCACTTTCGACTATTTCCCCGAGAACCTTTTTAGCCACTCTGTAAAACGGAAGCAGCTTGACACTTCCAAATCTTTAAACTCATTCGCTGAATCGACGCCTTTCCTTTATGAGCATTCGTATCTTTTTAGTGAAGCTTTGTGTTCACGAACTTTCGTTTCCACGTTGGGCTACCTTGAGCTTCAAAATCTTTATCGATTTGCCTGGCGTTTTCTTGTTACTTAAGCTCTTTTACCGACTCTTTTACCCTGGTTATCAAAGGACAAGAAAGTCATTTTAGTGCCAAACCTTTACAAACTCAGACTAAAAGAAACTACAGACAAAATAAGGCTCTTGAGATACAAAAAAGGATATTGTACATAAACAAAGTCTCGGGGTTCTCCTGTGTAGTGGTCCAAAGGAATGTGCACGTCGGTAACACAGCCATATTGGGAGAAGAGGCGTCCAAGATCTTCGGCAGCCGTGGTGTACAAAGCCGTCATAGTCAACGTGAGAGCGACTGCCCACGATCACCTTCGCGATCACCCTTGCCACCCCCCTCACGCCCGACAGAGGGGGTCCGAAGAAGAGGAGGATCACGGTCACGTCCCCCCAGACGCCGAAATGGCAGCAGCCGTGGTGGACAAAGCCGTCATAGTCAACGTGAGAGCGACTGCCCACGATCACCTTCGCGATCACCCTTGCCACCCCCCTCACGCTCGACAGATGGGGTCCAAAGAACAGGAGGATCACGGTCACGTCCCCCCAGGCGTAGAAATGGCAGCAGCTCTGGTCAACAAAGCCGTCATAGTCAACGTGAGAGCGATCGCCCACGATCACCTTCGCGATCACTCTTGCAACCTTGATCGTCGACGCCTTAAAAAAACAAACATTGGATAGATTAGCCTCTTATGCAGAAGTCCTACAATATAATAGTTAGCTTTCCAAGAATGATCTGAAAGGTGTTCAAACTTATTGGACTATTTGAAGGCCTTAGTATTTTCACAGGAGACATTTTAACAGTGTTACTGAAATACAAACCATTTTGGAATGTACAAGTACTACAAATAAATCACTTTAACAATCCCAAACTAATTCTCTTCTGTCAATTTAACAGATAAAGGGGTGAAGGAGGGGTAATCTATTTGGACAAACATCCACCCAATTTTTTTTTTCAACGAAGATATAATTGCAAATTAACCCGATAAAAAAATTTCGGGTCTTCAGCTGGATTCGAACCCATGGTCTCTGCATTAGCGTGGCAGTGCTCTATCAAGTTAGCTATGAACACCCTTATATTGGGGGCAGCCCAGTTTGTTGAGCTCATCTTAACCCGTGAATGGCATATGCGATGATCATATCTACATTTAAAATGTGTATTTGCGCAGTTCAGTTTACATGAACAATAAAGGATAATTCTTAAATAAATTAATAAATTATTGCCCCCCCCCCCCCACACCCCCCTTACCTTGAACCGCGACTGCGAAGTGGCGACTGCAAAAAATAAGAAATAATACTAACTTAATAAATGTTAACATGTCAAAATTGGTCTATCAAGCACAGAATCAGAATGTACCTGTTACCTTCATCGTAGTTATCTCTCCTATTACTGCTGTAACCAAGGGCTTCTCTCCTTTCCTTGGCACGCATCTGTGCTGGTGCTAAGACGAAGAAAAAGGTTCATGCTGAGTAATCGTTGTCTTTAACACCAGAAAATTTGTGTGGTGATATAGTTAGGGCACAAGTCATATTTCAACCTGCACGTTTACTTTTTGTTTGTCCGTTTGCAAACTGAACCTGAATTTCTTTTCTGTGGAACGTCACTCCGTTTAGATAGTGATTGGCATCCTCGGCACCACGTATATCTTCAAATGTATGGTATGTTAAGGCTTGACTTTCTTTCGACCAAGCTTTGCCTGGAACAAAAGCTTGAAAATGGCTCACCCTGCTGACAATCTCTTTTGATGGTTGATGCCCCTGCTTTATCAACTCATTCAGGTATTACTAATTAAGGAGTTAAATTTATAAACTTCCTCTTTGGGACATCTTCAAAATTGCCAAACATTCAATCACCTTGTCAATCTACAAGAATAACCTTTCAGTTTGTGTGTGTAGCACTCTCACTTTTCATTGAAAATGACCTTGATATCCTGAAAAAACAATTTTTTTCGGTGAAATTCTATGGAAACATATTCACATCTTCTATATTTACACTACACATAAAAGACTGCAGAAATGATGACGGTATCACCATTATCTCAATGTTGAAGTAAGCTGAGATGCCACCTTTCAATTTTGTTTCTTCTTTTGCTCCGAGAATGCTAATGAAAACTCTCACCTCCTTTAGTATAAGCGCCGCTCAAGTCACAAGTCTACACAAAGAACGCTTTAACTTTAAATATTATTTGTCATTTTGCTAAATTAGATTAAAGTATACAAACGGAGCAATTTCAGAATACCCGGACACATTATATACATAAACTAGTTTATAGAGTTAGAAGATTCAACAAGTCGCAAAACCGACGTAGAAATTGAACCGACTGTCAAGTTAAACCGAAGCTAATGTCGTGTATGTTAACAAAAAGTCGCACCTTCTTTAGTTTAGGTACCGCTCACGCTTCACAAGTCTACACAAAGACCGTAAACAGTGGTTTCTTTAGTGCGCTGCTCACACGTTTCTTAAATCATTTTAAGCAAAACATCTTTCACACATTCTATTCGTAGACGACCGGGTTGCGCCATAATAAAGTTTTTAAAAACATTCCAACTTCGATGTTTTAGCGCCGTTGTTTTTCTAGACATCGAGGATAGAATGGATCGACTTTTATTGCTGTGTTTTCTTTTCAGGTTACAAGGAACAAGGACTTCTAATAATTCAGATTTAAAGCTTTAACATATGAATCGCAGGCGAACTGACATATAAGACGTAGGCGAATCGACTCTAGTCGTAGGCGAACAGACCGTAGACGACCGGATTCCATCCCAGCACAGATGACAACTTTGCCGCTATATTTTGCTCTTTGGAACGGACACCGTCGAATAAGTTGAACTTTCCATATCCAGATATTATATAAAAAATTTACATTACACACTCTGCAAAAACTATTTACACTAAATACACTATTTACAGACGTCAACCTTTTCACCGGAGTTATCGAAACACTGCTCACGAAATTCGCCATCCTTCAATTTTACAGCATTACACGTTTTACACATCACTGCCCCACGTGCAGACACTCTAGCCACTCTCTAAAACGTAAGCAGCGTGACGCTTCAAATCTTTAAACTCGTTCGCGGAATCGATGGCTTTCCTTTATGAGCATTCGTATCTTTTTGGTGAAGCTTTGCGTTTACGAACTTTCATTTCCACGTTGGGCTAGCTTGAGCTTTAAGATCTTTATCGATTTGCCTAGACGTT